GACTGCTTCACCGTTCTAGAGACCGTAACCTGTTACGTCACAGCTCAGCCGCAGCGATGTCTCCTGTGTTGCAGTATCTGTCCAGACGCAGGAAGGCGTGCAGTGATGCCTATCGACGCTCACTACCTGTGACCACGATGTTTAGCACACCCCACATGATTTTTCTTCCCTCCCTGTAGGAAGTTTTTTTTTTCCATGTCCAAATGTATTTATTCTGTGTTCTGTGCCCTGTTCCTACGAGAGAGACCGAGTTTCTTTTACCGCCAGTATTGTCGCGTCGGGACAACGCGAGGTAGGTGGCCGAGCGTATGTAGACAGCCTGTGCTGTCTGCCAGCTTATTTCATATTTCGCACCACTAAGGTGCTGCCCTCTGGACCTGCCCAGGTCTGTGGGACGCTGGTCCCACACGCTCACAGTCACACAGAGGCCTAGCAGCAAGACAAGTCCTACTCTCGCTCTCTCCCTCGTGGGCATGGCCCTACCGTGCCATGGGCACAACACACAAGCCTGTGTACCCACATTACAAATAAAGTAAAGAAGCCTCCGAAGACGTCTATCATTGAACCCCGCTCTGCAAGAGCCACCAAACAAACCCGTTATACATGGTGACCGACAGTGGCTTCAAACCCACCTTATCTTTTATGGACAATGTATGATGTATGTGCATTACACAACAAGAATAATTTCTTTTATTCATTGAAACCATGGCTAGGACTAAAATTGAGCAGGTTAACAATAAATGGAGAAAAAGAAATTGGAATGACTTATGCAGCAAGTAGTGCCACCAAACAGTAGTGGCAGGTTGGTGTGGTGACCCCGGAAATTTGAAATTATGCTAGACAAAATTAGTGCCAGATTACTGATGGAACCAGATTATCAACTGCTGGATTAGTGATGGCTGACCTATGTAGATTATGACAAAATCACCGAGGCTTTGGAAGAAAACCAAAACAGATGTGGTCTATACAGATTTTTGCAAAAGCATTTGACAAATATGACCGAGGAGTGATAGTACATAAAACAAAGCCAACTCAAAAAGTTAAAAAAAAATGGATATAGAGATTTCTACATAACAGAACACAGAGTGGTAATAAACAAAAAGCTAAGTCTCAGCAAAATATGAAGTTCAGTACCCTAAGGCATGTATCAAACACTTCATCCTCGTATCAAGCTTTCTACACCCATATCAGACAATGCCAAAATAAGTATGAAAGTTCATTCAGAAGACAGAAATATTATACACATTAATAGTTTCCAATAGGTAAATGAATACAAAAACTTGTTCAATGGTGGCAAATGCAACTGTTTAAATATGGGAACAAATGACTTTGTGCACAAAATGTATACAGGTACTCCTCACTTAATGACCTACCTGTTTAACAACTGCTTGGACTTACGACTAGCTCTCCGACCAGTCATGTGTGTATTTTACTTTTTTATTGTTTTTTAATGCCTAGTTCTATTTTTAATATACTAAAAATGTTATAAATGGTGCAAAAGTGACATTAAAACAATATCTAAAGATAGCTGACAGTAACCCACTACCAGTATAGTATGCTTGAAATATCAGTAAGGGGAGGCTCCTTGCTCAACAACCAATCTGGTTATCGACCTACTCTTAGGAACGGAACTGGGTCGTTAACCTTTTCAGGGTTTCCAATGTACTAGTACGGCTTATGCACCAGGGTTATTGATGTACAGTGGAACCTCAAATATCGAACTTTCTTCGATCCAGAAGGCTGTTCGAGTGCCTTTACCGAATGAATTTATTCCCATCAGGAATAATGTAAATTCGATTAGTCCATTTCAGACCCTCAAAAATACACTTATAAAAGCACTTACAAAAATACATTTACATAATTGGTTGTGTTGGGAGCAGTTCGATTTTTGAGGTTCCACTTACTAGTACGCCTAAATTCTAGCACCTTCAAATCTAGTAAAAGCTGATAGGCCTACATATGAAAGAATGGGTCTATGTGGGCAGTGTGCACAGTATAAAAAAAATCCTGCAGCACACAATGCGTAACGAAAGAAAAAAAAAAACTCCGGCCATGTTTTTGGTTTAAAACAGCGACTTTGCAGTGTATTTTCGTATTGTATTTATGGTTATTTTAGTTTTCCTGGTCTCATTTTATAGAATGGAAGACATATTACAGAAATTGAGATGATTTTGATTGGTTTCATAATGAAAAGTATCTTGAAATTGCACTCAAAGTAGCAGAAATGTTCGATTTTTACCAAAGTTCAAAAGTAAACAAACATGCCAAGTGTCCAATACACGTCAACTGGCGAGTCTAATGTTCTTTCACAAGTGAGCTGATATTATTTATACCATTTCTACACTAATGCAGTAGTCTGCATAATAGTAAATCTTCTATTTTTTGTGAGAATAAAAATTCAAAGTGGGAAGCAAAAGAGATGTAAGAGGGGCCTGGGGACATGACTAATGAACAGAGAAATGTTATTTTAGTGCCAGTAATGTCAGTCTTGTTTATTCTAGACCCTATTTGGAAATTGGCATCTTCTGAAATTTGTGTGAAATTGGCAAAATTGCCAATTTCTGACCACTTTACTGGATAGTTGAAATCGGTAAATGGGTGGTTTCTTGTACTCATTCGATAGAAATGGAGTTCTAGCGAAATAGATATGATTTTTGTCGACTAGTACAGTGGAATTGGCTGAAAATAGGGCTCGAATTGGGCAAAATTGCCGATGCGTAAGCATCATCGAGATCGCTAACTTTGCGAGAGCATAATTCCATAAGTTTTCCATCAAATTTCATACTTTTGGTGCCATTATAATCAGGAAAAGATTCTCTATCATTTCATAAGAAAAAAAAATTTTTCTTTGTTTTTCAAAAAAAAATTTGACCCTGAGAACGAGTTTAGGAGATGGCCTCTCGACCCTGAAAGGGTTAAGTGAGGAGTACCTGTATACAATGTAGGCAGACCATCCCATATAACGTATAGTAAGAAACTAGCAAAAGAATTAGGAATTATGTCAGATCTGTCATTTAGAGAACACTAGGTCAGGAAAATGACAGGGTGGACTATGAGAATATTCAAAGGAAGAGAAGTAATGCCAGTGATTGCACTTTTCAAATTAATGGTGCTCTCAAGACTAAATACCATTCTGTTTCATGTGCATTTAAAGATAGTTATGTACAGTCCCAGTATAAGTCACATACAGTCCAGGTACAAGCAGACATGGTACATAATTACGAAGATCCTATCCATTTGAGCTCAGCGTTTATTTATTAAAAATTGTCCAATATTATGTTGGCTTTGTCTTGGACATAGTCATGAAAATGCAAGAAACAACCTTACAAAACCCTGACTAAAATAACCTGACTTAAGATTACTCTGCCAGCGGTAGATATGGGACTGATGGCCTTGTTTACACTATATTTGTCTTTGCTGTGACTGGCCAGGAGCTTTGAGGTGTTGCACATCCTTGTATGCCTGCATTTTAGAAATAATAATGCATGATATCTCAAGAAGACCAGATCTCCCAATGTCTGATTTTTGAGGTTATCCTAGGTAATTTACATACATGCTGGTATGTATGATAATTTATATACTAACTGTATTAATGTGTACCTTTACCTGAATAAACTTACTATTAGTCGCAGATACGCACATTGGTTAATAGGATTTAAAGCCTATAATTAAGGGTGCATAATACCTAATCTACACTTGAGAAGAATACTTTAATCCTTAAAACAGGGATTAATGTAAATGCTTAGCATATAAGTAAATAATAAATTTATTCAGGTATATACATTTACAGTAAAGGTTGAAAGTTGAGAGTGAACACAGATAAGAGTAAGGTGATGAGGGTATCAAATGATTTAGATAAAGAAAAATGGGATGTCACATTGGAGAGAGGGAGTATAGAAGAAGTGAATGTTTTCAGATATTTGGGAGTTGACGTGTCAGCAGATGGGTTTATGAAGGATGAGGTTAACCGTAGAATTGATGAAGGAAAAAAGGGAAATGGTGCGTCGAGGTATATGTGGAGACAACAAACTTTATCTATGGAGGCAAAGAAGGGAATGTATGAAAGTATAGTGGTATCAACACTCTTCTACGGGTGTGAAGCTTGGGTTGTAAATGCTGCAGCGAGGAGGCAGTTGGAGGCAGTGGAGATGTCCTGTCTAAGGGCAATGTGTGGTGTAAATATTATGCAGAAAATTCGGAGTGTGGAAATTAGAAGGTGTGGAGTTAATAAAAGTATTAGTCAGAGAGCTGAAGAGGTGTTGTCGAGGTGGTATGGTCATTTAGAGAGAATGGATCAAAGTAGAATAACATATATATTATATATACATACATAGATACACACACAGTGTATACATTGTCCTTGTCAATACGCACACTCCAGGCAGTAGTAGTAGGTACAGGCCCACGTAAGTCCAATTATCATACATATTAACATGCGTAAATTACCTAGGATCAACAAAAATGAAATACTCCCATCAGGTCTAGTGGCCAAGATGCCTGGCTTTTACCCAGGAGGCCCGGGTTCGATTCACGGCATGGGAATTAATTTAAGGACTCCAATGGAAATAAGTCGCTATGACTTTTTTGGGTTATCCCAGGTTCTCTACACATATGCTGCTATGTATGATAATCTATGTAACTGTATTTATGCATACCTGAATAAGCTTACTTACTGACTTATTTTCATTGGGTTCCTAAAATTCAAACTCACGTACGATTCAGGTTTAAACAACTACATTATAATACAATGACTTGAGCCCGTACCCATCACAGCACAAACTACATTTAGTAAAACACTTAGAAGAGTAGCAGCAACCATAAACATAGCAGCAGCACTACACAGCATTTCTTTAGCGTCAATATATATATATAAAGGAGTAAAGTGGGAGTCGGGGGGAGGGGGGAGGGGGTAGGAGGGTAGGAAATTTAAAATCTTTACACAAGAACCACTACTTGCCCCAGTTAATAAGACATAGCAGTGTTAGCGTAGGCGCCCTCACCTGGCGGGTATGAGAAGTGCTGAGGGTAGTTGTGTGAGTGGTGAGAAGTGGGAGAGTGAGGAGGGAAGGCAGACTCACCAGCACCTGCTGCTGGGGAGTCGCCATTGTCACTACCTTCATCATCGTCTTCGCTTATCTCTCCTTCCTCATGTTCGCTCTCCTCGTCCTTGGAGGAGACCACCTCCAAGAGCTGCACCTCGTTCTCCATGGCCTCCGGGGAGTTCATAAAAGGCTGAACAGAGTGGCCACACCTGTAAAAAAAACGTTGGAAATGTTGGTGGTGATGGTGTCGCCTCCTCCCTGACCTGGCGCAGCTGACTAACACTGCTGCTGCTGCTGCTGATGCTCGCTCTCCTCCTTTACATTCTCTATCACTCACATTTTGCTGTGTTTGTATTGTTATTTTGCGGCTCTTGTGGGTTTAACGCTTAATTTTGATTGTTGTAATACGTGTAATATTTTTATTTTAGTTATTGGAAGGCGCTTCTGATGTGTTGGGTAATCAGTAATAAAATATTCTAGGATATGTGGATTTTGTATCTTAAGAGGTTATATCGCATAATAATAATAATAATAATAATAATAATAATAATAATAATAATAATAATAAGAAGAAGAAGAAGAAGAAGAAGAAAACGAAGAAGAAAAAGAAGAATATAATAATAATAATATCTTGATTTCTACAAGTACATGTACAAGGTCTATTTGATATCAATAACATACTACTATATAGAAAGCTGCTTGTTATGCTGAGCATTTCGGGCAAATTAGGTCAGTTTTGTCCCAAGATGCGACCCACACCAGTCCACTAACACCCAGGTGTGGCTTAGCGCTTCTTTTTTTATTATAATAATAATAACACCCAGGTACCCATTTTATACTGATGGGGAACAAGGACAGCAGGTGTCTTAAGGAAACACGTTCTAATGTTTTACAGCCGTACCAAGGATTCAATCTCCGGAACTCAGTGTGTGAGAATCATCGTGGCATTTAGATGGAAAGGAAAGTTTAAAAACTGCAATTTTATTATTGACCGGATTAATAGAATTTTTGCTGAGTGCATGACTTCAACTATTTTTTTCTTAATTTTCTTAAAGTCTGTTTCGAAAATGGCATTTTTCGTTTGAACATTCATATTTACATTACCTCTTTTGCACCATTAAATACGGCGCACTCCATATAGCATTTTAAACTTCAGAACTTCTAGTGGGGAAATTTTCTTAATCACTGGCATTATGCGCAGGATATGACTTGCAATAACACTGAAAGTTTTTTTACATGAGTAAATAAATGTATATCATATTTTTTTTAACTTCTAATTTTCTTTCTGCATGAGGAGAAAAAAAATCAGAAGTTCAATTTTTTCAAGTTAAAACATGTATATAGAAGGGATACATGCATTATTTTGAGTTGGATATGCTATCAAAAGGATCCCAGTGGACATACGTCACTTTGACGTTTTTTGCTGCTATGTATGATAATCTATGTAATTGTATTTGTGTATACCTGAATAAACTTACTTATCTTATAGCTAGGCTTTAAATAATAAGATACAGTATTACAAGTATCACAATGGTGGCCCATGGCCTGGTAGGCAACGCTCTGGCTTTACACGCTGTGTCTGTGGTACGATTCCTGGCAAGGGTGAAAACATTGGGCGTTTCCTTACACCTGTTGTCTTGTTCATCTAGCAAGTACCTGGGTGTTAGTCGACTGGTGTGGGCCGCATCCTGGGTTATCTTGGTTTGCTAACCGTCCTGGGTTAAAAATCCTAACAAAATCTTATCTATAAGTCTGAGTTTTTGGGTTATCCTAGGTAATTTACACATATGTTATTATGTACGATAATTGCACTTGCGTACCTGTACCTAAGTAAACTTAATGGTTAGGTTAGGTAGGGTTCCTCAGGAAACAGGACAAATGTTTCCTGACGCGGGTCTTAGTCAGATGATGACCTGCCTTTGGAGCTTTGGTCATCTGACCGAGGCCTTCCGCTGGCTTACTGGTCCACCCCTTTAAAAATTATGGTCATTTATAACCATTATTATTGGTAAACTTAATTATGTATGATAATTCTAAATCAGAATAGGTTTTTTCCAACATATGGCTCAGTACTCCTATGTATTAGCAAACAAACACAAGCACATTAATGTATATACACATAAGAGTATAATGGTAACCTTTTTTTTAGAAAGAATATTAGCTAAGAATATGCATGACAAGACGACGACTCTAGGATTACATGTACACGATTTTATTTGTTTAAACATTAGATTTTACTGTTATTAAAATTTGATACGGCACATTCTATAGCTACCCTGAGCTAATTATAATATACACTGATAGAACAATAGTTATATTTATATTTATATGCCGTATTCCATTCCATAGGTGCGTTTTCCTGTCACATTCCATCATGCAGGACGGGTTTCATGCCGTACTCCACCACATGAAATTTCATGTCACACTCCATTACATAACATGAATTTCATGCCATACTCCATCATATAAAATGGGATTTATATTCTACTACACATAAAATAGGTTTCATGTCATAATCCATCACATAAAATAGGTTTCATGTCATAATCCATCACATAAAATAGGTTTCACGTCATAATCCATCACATAAAATAGGTTTCATGTCATAATCCATCACATAAAATAGGTTTCATGTCATAATCCATCACATAAAATAGGTTTCACGTCATAATCCATCACATAAAATAGGTTTCACGTCATAATCCATCACATAAAATAGGTTTCACGTCATAATCCATCACATAAAATAGGTTTCATGTCATAATCTATCACATTCATGTCTTAATCTATCACATAAAATAGGTCTCATGTTATACAGGTTGACACATGATGTCTTCAAACAAATTAATGGAACTGTTCAGCTTGACATGGGAGACTTTAGTAAATCAAACAACCAGAACACCAACATTTTACACATACCCTGAACTACATGACATTTTATTAAACAAGAGCGAGAGCTGTAAATGATATTTGACTCGACACTTTGTAAATGGTCCAAGTCGGACCGAAACGTCGTCGTAAGCTTCTCTCTTCTATGTGCGGGTTATTTGTGTATTGTTCCAGTCACGATATTGTGACTTTTTTGTTATTTATTGATATTTGACTCTTTCCATCAGACCTGGAGTCTCTTATAATATCACACAAGACGGTATAATATTCTAGTTATATATGCTCATTATAAGGCAGAGCCACAATATATATTCAACTTGTAAATTAACATGAGTTACAACATGTATGAAAACAACTGGAAATAAATCATTGTCTGATGTGTTCTTGGGTTATCCAAGGTAATTCACACCTTGTGTGATAATTGTACTTATGTGTATCTGTGCCTAAACTTAACTTATTAATATTGGTATTCCCAAGCAGAACTTGAACTGGAACACCTAGCCAATAAAACTAAAAAAAAAAAATTGATGTTAATATAAGCATATGATTAAAGAAGGTGCGAAGAAACAAGGAACAGAAAGATATATGAACGAGGGTGGCATCAATGGCTTTTTTTTTTTAGTTTAATATGATTATTATGCACCCCATACCCATCCTGTGGGCGGTAGTCAAAAGATTACAGAGGTACATAATGAGTCCAGGGACTGGGCCCCAAAGTTTTGATAGCTGAGCAAGTTATAAAGGTAATGAACTCCAGGTAGATCTGGTCACAATCATGACCAGTTACAATTGTGACCAGATCTACCTGGAGTTCATTACCTTTGTAACTTGCTAATGAACTCCAGGTAGATCTGGTCACAACTGTAACTTGTCAGATCTACCTGGAGTTCATTAGCAAGGCATCAATGGCAGAACGTTTGGCTCACAATCTAAAGAGCTGCATTTAATTCTGGTGTTCAGTTCTAAGTGAGCAAGACATTTGGGTAAGTCTCATAGCTGCTGCCTTGCTCTCCTAGCAGTGCACAGATAACTAGGAGTTAGTGGAAGGATAATAACTGACACCGCTTAGCTTTCTAGAATTATTCCTACACTCTACGGGATTAATAAATGAAAAAAAAAGTTTTCACTAGACGTATAATAAGAAAAGAACAAGAAGAACTTCTATTAAATATTTAAATGCATTAATTAACAACCTAAACTAGAATTAAATAAACTCTTTAATAATTCTGGAAAAATATCCGAGACTCAGTATTACAACAAAATTTTCTGTAACTTAGATAAGAAGTTTGGAATTTGTAAAGTAAAAGGACACAAGTGCAACTAATGTGACATTTATTGTGGCAACGTTTCGCTCTCCAGGAGCTTTGATGAACACACGTGTATTGCTAGTGTCCTCAAATTAGTCTCGTTGAGACTGGCATTTTACATAATGTGGTGGAAAACAAGGTGGATGTACTGGAGCTACAGGAGGCACTGTAAAATTCCAAGAATCGGTGGATATGACACATTGCTTCCCCAGCGCGGTGCTGTCAGTAGGCAACTTATTATGTATATCAAGAAAAATATTCTTGTGGAAAAGTGGGATTTATTATTTAAAGCACTAATAATGCACCTGCAGTGTACTACCTTATTCTGTATGCGAGTTATATACCTAGAGAGTGTTCCAGGGGTTAACGCCCCCGTGGCCCGGTCCATGACCAGGCCTCGAATGGTGGGAGGACTTCGCAGTGATAGATATATGATGGGTATTGGATACACCCTGTGTACTACCCTATTCTATATAAAAGCTACATGGTGAGCATACTCAGTGTGCTTCTCTATTCTGTATATAATTACATGATCTACAATCCTATTCTATATGACAGCTACGTGGTGGGCACACTCAGTGTACTACCTTATTCTATGAGTTCTATAATGAGTGGTGGTTGACAGTACTGGTGGATTCCATTACTTTGTGGAAGTAGCCATGTGATGGAGTATGACAGTGAAATCAGACTGTTTAGGCACAAAATAAAAAGGAAAAACCACCCTGTGATATAGTATGACAGGATTATTATTATTATAATAAAAAAGAAGCGCTAAGCCACAAGGACTATACAGCGTAGTATGACAGGAAAAACATCCTTTAAGATTATGACAGGAAAACCATCTTGTGTAATAGTTTGACAGGAGACAACCAGCTGTTGTGATGGAGTATGACAGGGAAACCGTCCCATGTGACAGAGTATGACAGAAAAATTAGCTTTTTCGTAGTTTTATAGGGAAATCATTCTATGTGATGGAATATATTAGGAAAACTTTCCTGCATGACATTAAAACTGGATTGGAAAATCATCATTTGACGTGTTATGGGTGTGAGATAATTAGTTTAACCATGCAAAATGTCATACATGTGAAGTAG